AGTTACCTGGGTTGTCCTTGGTCCCTTTTTTGAAGAAAAGTAAGTAGCCTGGTGGCTTAAGATATAATGGGAGGAAAAGAAAAATTCTGGCCAAGTACAATGTCATGGGATCAGATAAAGGGCAGATAAAGATTTAGATTTTCACCCTCCAGATTTTGGAGTTTAGACACTATAAATCCGATTCTTAAGGTTGCTGTGCCTTCCAAATAGCCACAAATTGGCAAAAATTAGCTGAGTGTACTCTTAAGTTCAGACTGAAATGTTATCTGTCTCTGAGTTTGAAGTCTATACTCAAGCAACTTTAGACTATATTGACCTATGGAAGTTTGGGGTGCATGGCTTGGATTCTGCAGATATAAAGCAGTACGAACTGCCTAAAAACTGAACAAAACTAATGAAAAGTTTCCTCTGTAAGAAACACCCTTCTGTTAGTAAAACAGACAGAACAGCTTGTATTAGGGCACTCCAAGAACATGAATTTTGAAACAGGAAACGGAAAAAACAGTGAACTCCTTTTATTTGATTTCCTATGCGGTCAGCCGAAACTTCAACTAGGTCTAGCAGACCCTAAATAGGAGAATCGGACAGGTCTTTATGTTCCCCTTTCCTATTCTCTTCCACAGAAATCACATTTTTAGGCAAAATTCTTCCCATAAACATATTTTCCATGGACACAAAAACATGATCAACTTATCTTTCTGTTCATGTCATATGCACTACAAACCATCCAAGCTAAACAGTCTTGTGTAGGATAATCTTAAATATCAGAAACTGCTTTCAAAACTTTTAGGAAAGGATCTAGTGTTAAAATGATGGAGTCAAACAAGACCGCTTTAAGCTTAATTTTCCCCAAACCCCAATTTCACAATGGATAATAGTTTTGTCATAATCTTAACTCGCTATATAAATAGTTAGCACTTTCCTAATGTGGTATTATAACACAACTCCTTACCTTATAAACTTGCTCAGAATGTGGTTCTAGGATGCTGGGAGCCTCTTCAAGTTTGGGCTCATCTTTAAACTTCTCTTTGGAAGATTTCTTGTTGGAGCCTTCACTTTCTTCATTTATTCTCTCCTGTTCTTTCTTTTTACACCACAAACTGTCCTTTTTTCCTTGTCCTTCTTTCTTAAGTTGTTCTTCCTCTAGTAATCGGTCCTGCTCCTCCTTCCAAGCCTACATTAAATGTTAGGAATTCAAAAGACTGGTTCTCTTTGTATTACAAAATATTTTATACATCTATGCTGAAAAGAGTACTGGTAAACAAACTCAAAGGAATCAATGTTTTAAGTCACTCTAAGACATGTTTTCCAAACATCTCTAGAGTTTTACAATATCGTGGACTATTTTTTGCATAAAATTACTGACTCATTCAATCTACAGAATCTGTCATTCTTGACCATGAAGACGCATCAGATGATTACTTGTATCTTACCCACTCAGCCATAAAAGCATCATTTTGTTGTGCAGTTTTCCACTAATGCGTCACTGGTATTAATTTATTCCTAAAATGCAACTGTGAGATAAAATGATTTTATTCTTGTACAGAAGAAGGAACAAGGTATCAATACCAGAATTATCAACTTTTAACAGGAAGACATCTGGGATTTTCCCGAGTAGTTAAATGCTACAAAACATTTTATATTCTAAGTATACCAAAGGAAAGGCATTTCTGTGGAAGAAACGGTGGGCATTCATAGTTATGTGTTAGGCATTAGCTAGCCTAACTTGAGCTGTGCCAGCTCTAGTCGAGTACCCAGGAAATTATTAACTCCGTTTCATATCTACATTCCAATATCAGTAGTTAAAGTACAGAACATATCACACTATAAGAAAGATGAGACATACTATGTCTGGGAGGATTCAAAAAAAGCAGGCGAGTACAACATCAATCACGCTGGATTTGTACAGACTAATGGAGAGTGCCGATGCTAAGACTTAAAAAAAGTGCGCTTAATTCCTACCTTAGCCAGAAACTTACAGTATGAAGGCAGGCAATTCAATTAAAACTGTAGTGCATGACCATGGTCTACATCTATAAAATGGGATTCTCTGTCATAAGGGAACTCTGAGGATTTGTATATACATTACATTAAAGAGCTGTAGACAGTGAAAGTAGGAATTGCGTACTTAAGTACTTCCATGAACCTATATCGTATGCTTTTATAACCAGAAACTTTCAACGAGAAGTAGGATATTATCCATAACTTTCATTTCCTGCAAATAGTCTTCCCATAAGAAAATAATTGAATCAATAAGAAATAAATTAAAGGAAAGAAGAAATAAAGTATACAAAAAATGGCGAAGCACAGAAAAACTAAGAGGACTGAGTAATGTCAGTGATGATGGCTTAACTCCTTGGGAAAGCAGTGTTATTTAGCCAGTTTCAGAAACATGTACATATTTGCCTCACCTTTAGAGAACCCTCTCTGACAAAAGCACTTTTTTCATTGTTGCACTGAGATCCTGGACCAGTCTCTGTTATGCTCCCAGGTCCTGATGCACTGCCTTTGGGAAAGAAAAGGGGAATAAATGAGGTTCTAAATACATGAAAATTAAATAATTTTTTAAAAATGGAAAAATAAAAACAAAAGAAGTGCAAGTAAATAAAAAAATACATTTAAAAATAGTATAAAAGTAGAATAAAGAAAATGTTGAATATTTTTAGAGATAAAAACGAAAGTCTGTTAAGGCCAGTCCCCCCAGGCAATGATACAGGCTTGGGGAAGAGTGGCTGGAAAGGTGCCTGGCAGGAAAGGACCTGGGCGTGCTGGTAAACAGCCAGCTGAACGTTAGCCAGCAGTGTGCCCAGGTGGCCAAGAAGGTGAAAAGCTTGTATCAAAAATAGTGTGTCCATCAGAAGTAGAGAAGTGACCCTGTGCCTGTACTTGGCACTGGTGAGGCCACAGCTTGAGTACTGTAGTGAGAGGCCCAAAACTGAACACAAGAAGGACACTGAGGTGCTCGAGTGGGTCCAGGGATGGGCAACGAAGCTGGTGAGGGGTCTGGAGAGCATGCCTTATGAGGAGCAGCTGAGGGAACTGGAATTGTTTGGTCTGGAGAAGAGGAGCCTGAGGGAAGATCTCATTGCTCTCTACAACTACCTGAAAGGAGGTTGTAGTGACGTCAGTGTTGGTCTCTTCTCCTGAGTAACTAGTGACATGATGAGAGGAAATGGGCTCAAGTTGTGCCAGGGGAGGCTTAGATTGGATATTAGGAAAAATTTCTTTACTGAAAGAGTGGTGAAGCATTGGAACAGACTGCCCAGGGATGTGGTGGAGTCACTATCCCTGAAAGTGTTCAAAAAATGTGTAGCACTTCAGGACATGGTTTAGCGGTCATGGTAGTGTTGAGTTGATAGTTGGACTTGATCTCAGAGGTCTTTTTCAACCTTAATGACCTCTCTGTATGTGGTGTTATAACATGCTTGGATACCCAGCATTTACCTGACAGAAAAGATAAACTGAAGTATACAGCCAGCCTATGCCATTCTGTGATTCCATGATTCTATACAATCAGGAACTTCTAGTTAAATTACTTTGTACTACAAAGTAGTAATTGCAGTGTGGGTTACAGCAGTGCCAGTGAAACTTAAGTCACTTAAAGATGCTGTTGCCTGCCTGCACATCCCAGCTAGAGGTGATTATCTTCCTTCAGCAAGTGAACTTCGCTATGAATCTTATCTGACGTGAGGCACCAGACTGGGAAGATTCCATCTAGCTCCTGTGACAGCTAGATAGATACAAATTACGATTTAGAAGTCACAGCTGTTCCTTCTGTTTCCAAACTATAATCAGACACATTAATTGGGATGAGGAATAACATTCCTATTTCTGTAAATGCTAACTGCTAGTACTAGAAGGTTTCAAATGCATTCTCAAAAGAAGGTAAATAAAGTAAGGTTAAGTATCAACAAATAATGGTTAATATCTTTAAAATACACAAATACACAATTTGGACAAATGTTGTCTTTTGTCAAAAGGGATTTTCAGATTTTGCTGCCTGCTTAACAGTTACCGTATGGACTGCTTACAATTCTCACTACCCAAAATACTGCTTGGAATTAAAGTTTGCTCTGTAGTCTTAAACAGTTTCAGTTTCCAGTTTTAGCTTCTGACTTCCAACTTTTTGCCCTTTTATAAAGGAATTTTCCTGAACTGTGTTGCCAACTTTAACTGGGGTTCGTCTCTTCATATGTTCACTCCTCTAAACAGAAATTCATATTTGTATGTAATCCTTAAGAATTAAACAAACACAGCTATTGTAAATGTTTTCAGAACAGAGGACAATGTGGAATATTTACATTTGTGTATTTAATTAATTTCAAAACAAAGTTATGTCTATACAGATCAAAACCAAGGTTTTATCCTGTGAAAAAATATATTCATCTGTTCTGAATAACTTCGGGTCTTGGCACTTCACATGAAAAATGAATTTTCTACAATAAAATGAAAATATACTCACTTTTGGCTTTCTCAGGGAAGCCATTTTTTTTTACAGCATGTGCAGACAACTCAGGAGGTCCTTCTGCCATGGCTTTTTCCAGTTTAAGAGACTCCATTTCCTTAGCCATCTTTTCTTCTTGGTATTTGACTTCTTCGTCTTTCACCCAGTCTTCAATTGAGTCGGCCACCAGCTCGAGATAGTTCCTGAAAAGCACAGCATTCCTCTATTTACCCATAATACAGTTTTCACTAATATGATTTCAGGTCAAAGAAGATCACTTGGCTTCTCAGTTTCTTATACAAATATTATTCTATAACCTTTGAGAGAAGGCTTGTGTTTGCCAGGGTTTCTCTCAGTTTTTACAGGAGCGTGTTCTTTTGCCTGGCTGGTATTTGCTTAATGTATCTAACATTTGGGATTTTGGTTAACCTTTCTGCAAAACGGTATTAGCAACTTGTCTTCCAAAGAATGCTTGCCCTCAAATTAAAACAAGTCCAGCAAGTCAGAAAACATAGAGACATTCATGTTAAGAAAGACTCTCCTCCTCATTGTTTCACCACCAGGATAATTTATTTTCTTAGTTGCTCTTGATTTATATTGTCTTTTAGAATACACATAATTTATTTGTTCAGCAACTAAGAAGATGCTATTCTATCAAATTTCTAATTTTTCTTCACTGGTATGATAAGAAAGGTGCTTGGAAATTGTCATCCAAACCCAGATCAGAGAATCAGTGCACTATAGCCTGGCGTAAATTAAGAATAGTTGCAATTAAAAGCTGAAGCAAGCACTGAAGGACAAACTGATCTAGAGTTTGCAGCTGGTACCTGTAGTTGCATCGGTTCATCTCCCAAAGGTGTCCAAAATGATTGCTACAATAGTTCATTGTCAACACCTACTTCCAAGGATGAAGCCTGCCAGTCTTACATGCAGTTGCCACTCAACCCCTTGTTTGGAGTTCTATCCTAATTCTTTAAAGTAAAATTCTTCATGCATGCAAAACTAAATGGGGCTTTTAAAGAACACATGAAATTCAGTTGCTGTGTTTTCCTAACGTTTTGCATTTGTAAGTTAAAGCTGACTCAATTGTATCCAAAAGCCCTTGCATGCATTACATTTAGGTGGCACAAGCAATGCCTGACCTCATGACAGTTTGAAAGTTGTTCTTGCAGCATTACAGTGTACGTCCAAGAGAACGAGTACACACGCTATCTACACAGACTGGAGATGTACACAGTTCATGTACAGCTTAAAGATATGCAAGTCTCTCCCTGCCCCTGCAGCATAGGAGGAGCCTGCTTTAGGAAACTTGCATGATGCTATACTCAGCAGGGACAAGGTGACTCTGCTTATATCTGAAGTGTACAACCTATAAAAACAAAGCTGTTGAAAACAAAAGGCAAAACTAGACTGGAACCTAGAGTTGCCAGTACTGGATTAACTTGAAGATGAATATATGTTATAAATAAAACTGAGATTATTCGTGTGGAAAATATTTTAGGGCAATGAAACAGTCATCTGAAGTCAAAAATACACATTCTATTATTATACACATTATTCTATTCTGATGTCACTACTGCCAGTGTCTGACTCAGAATTATTTCTCAGAAAGGATTCTTCTTTTCCAGTAACTTGTGTAATGTGTTTACTATGAAACAGTAAACAAATGTCATTAAAATTAACTTTGGGCAAAAGAATAGTTTTGATAATGTCTGAATTAATTTGGCTTCCTGATAAGGTGGCCACTTACCCTAATAAGAACTATAAGGTTTTATACATATATATCACTGCAGGTACACGTGTCCAAGCCTTTGCTTCCCTTTGGTCAGTAGCATCCACTGGATTTCACACATAGCCTCTTGCTGCCTATGCTTTAAACAGCAACATTTCTGAATTTTCCCATGTTCTACATGAACTACAGGAACCGATATCCATAGAGAAGAAAGAAGGGTAACTGGGAACTTCAGAAGCACAAGCTGCTGCAACACAAGAAATTTAATTTCCCCCCTGCATGAGAATCTACTGTAACAGGATCCATCGTTATCAGCAAGTAACAGACATATATTCCAGACAGCAACTATGGAACAATGCTACAAACTGGATTTGTGGTATATTAGATGTCACAGTAAAGAAGTAACAAGTAAACACAGGTAGAGAACTCCTAACAAAGAGATAGTCAAGCACAGCATCTGTTTTGTGTCTGTAACTCTCCTGTGGTGAAAGTGCATCTCTTCAACATATACCAAAAATTAGAGTGATAGTAATTTTAATAAAAGGTAAAATCAGTAACTTGTTATTAAACTCATCAGGAGCCAATTATTTCACACACAGGTAAAACCTGTGCCTAATTAATAGGTAAAGTTTGTGCCTGTTCTTGGTAACTCAGTGGGATCTGGAACCTAATGCAGGCAACAGCTTCAAGCACCCCAGGTATTTAAAGACTGTCTTCCACAGAAGTGTTATGTTGCTTGCAAATCTACACTAGCAAGTATTTATGATACTTTGTCTGGAAATCAAAATTATCTTTAGCAAAAAGGTTGAATAAGGTTAGAAAATGTGCCCATTATTTTGCAGAGAAAAAGCAGGTATGGATGCTACATAAAAGAACCAAATGAGAACCGGTAGCTCTTCAAAGACTCTAAGTAGCATACATAGCAGTGACCTCTTCCTGTGAAACAAGAGCAAAGCCAAACTTTCTGGTTAGCTTTCACATCAGTTTCTTTAGGAACTCCTTGCTGCTTTGAAGCAGAATCTGATGAATTGTCACTGAACAAAGCAGGCATGTCCCAAGCAGAAACTATCCTTAATGTCTAAGCCTTGTTTCCTGTGTATGTGGAAGAGTAAGAAGGAGGAAACATAAAGTTACATCATTCTCAACTGAATTACAATGCATCTGCTAGAGAACATGCTTCATTCCTTCCTCGTATGAAAAATTAGCAACTTCCATTTTAAAGGTATGAAGAGGTTTCCCCACTTGTCAGTTGGCCTTGATTTGGCTATTTCAATGCCCTTTCGAGGTGACCAGCCAGAATGCTCTAGGACCCCAAAGACGAAGAGTTGTTTCAAGGAGAAACGCTTCCTGGGTAGGTCTGGTTCCTCAATATTCGCTCCTACAGACAACACCACAATATGCCATTTGCATGGGGTGTTACTCGGTGTATGTAAGCATGAAGTGACATGTTAGATGTACTAGGGTAAGTGACCTGGTCTCCAGTGTCTGTTCCAAAGGAGTATGGGTCTCCTACAGGTCTCACATGTAACAGCCCTGTGCAGGTATCTCAGATACACCAGGCAGTCGAACTGGCAGCAGGTTTATGCAACTTGAATCAAGCCCTGAATGTCCAGTGCCCTAAAGAGGAATAAGAATAGCTGGCAAAATAAACAGCTCTGGCTCCAGTACACTTTTGTAACAAACTTTGAGACCACCAACCCTCTGCCTGGGTCTCTCTGAATGCCTTGAACACACCATATTTCATAGCCCCCTGGGAAAGATTTCAGCTGTTACATACACGCAAAAAAATTGATTGACCAGACGTTTGGTGGATTTGCTCAACAACCACAGAACAGCCAGAGTTTTCTCCAAGGAACTTTGTGTTTCTTCTGTTAAATCTCTCCTGGCTCTGGTCCCAGTCACTGCTAATCACAACAGCCTCTTTTTACAGCAAATAATTTAAATCCAAGTGCCTGGAAAGCTGAGATGGACTCACACAGAGTTCCTTGACTGAAAGATATGAAACACAATATAAAATATGTCTTCATGAAGGCATACTTTGCCTAATTAGCATTCAAAACTATTCAAACCTCCTTCATCTGAAGTGTCCTCAAATAATTTTCTTGATATGGATATCCCCAACATGACTTTGTGTGCATGTAGGTGTTATACAGAGAATCATAGAATGGTTTGGGTTGGCAGCGACCTTAAAGATCATCTAATTCCAACCTCACTACCATGGGCAGGGACACCTCTCTTCTACTAGCCCAGGTTGCTCAAAGCCCCATCCAGCCTGGCCTTGAACACTTCTGGGGTGGGGGCTTCCACAGCTTCTCTGGACAACCTGTTCCAGTGTCTCATCACTCTGACAGTAAAGAATTTCTTCTTAATATCTAACGTAAACTTACCCTCTTTAAGTCGGAATTGAAAATGACTGTGAACGAGACATGAAAGATAAAATCAGTTACCTGAATCCAACATCAGAGTGCAATGCAACATCCCAAGTCTCTTGGCACAACCGATACTGATTCATAGGATTGTGAAGAACCATTAGCAGAGAGTTATCTTGGGTATGATAAAAGGAATCAATACATCTGAATTCTTGCGATGCAGTATGAAGAACCTGAAAAGGAAAGAAATAAGGGTATACCATTCCTACAGACAGTAGCATATACAGAGATGCTATACAGCACAGCTTTTAGCAAAAGGTGCTGCAGAACTTCACTTTCCTACAAGCTGTACACAAAGCATTTATTTTCCAGCTATCTGAAGTGATCATATAGGTGGAAATTGAAACTCTGCAACTATTCATACTGAGAAAAGGCAGTCATCATGCTCCACCTTCTGAGACTGACCATGAACAAAAAAGTCTGGATAAATAATGAACAAATAAATTTAAATGTTAAATAAATGCTTAAAAATAATACAGTGTTTAAATAAGCAGTAAATAAAAGCAGAACTATCACAAGCCAGGTAGAAAGAAATGGAATTTAATTTTTTTTAGCTTAGTTAAATTACTTGGTATTCAATTTGCTATACTATGACCTGCACATCTCTGAGATTTACCGTGTTCTACATTATTCCTCTCTATTCTGTATTGCTCCATCATTTTCAACCTTTACACTGCCTGCAAGCTGAAACTTGTTTTACAGTTATAGCTAGAAGAAAGCCTTCTTTTAAAGTGTTATTTTTACTGAACTATGCAACTGAAATAAAACTGAAATAATTCAATAGCAACAAATATTCTCTTTTAACATGAAAACTATAATATCAGCTGGTGTAAAATCTATGTTAAGCTGTGACATGTAGCTATTTATGTTGCATAAGGAGGAATACCCCATGTACTAAAATGTATGATGCTCAAGTTGTGAGGCTGAAGTGGTGCTGAAAAATTCCAAGCAGCCTCTCCTTCACTTATGTATAGCTTGTGTCAGGATCAAGTAAGTATTGCAGCATATGAAGCTCAAGGTAGCACAGGAACTAATAAACCATTCCTCCCAAGAGAATGCCTACCAACTCAAGCCATCTACACTTGAATTTGTCTTTCACAGGGGGCCGGTTAGCTCAGTGGTTTGAGTGCGGTGCTGACAACTATGACCAACACCGAGGTCACGGGTTTGATTCCCACTCGGTCCCCATGTGTTGCCTGGTCTAGTCGAGAGGTGGCGTCCCTGCCCATGACAGGGGGGTTGGACTAGATGATCTCTAAGGTCCCTTCCAGCCTATGCCGTTCTATGATTCTATGATTCACATTTGTTGTTCTATCTTTCTGCAAGATGAGTTTTAGTCTTTAGCTTGTAAGACTCCTATAAGGGAAGCTTATAGCCCACAAAGTGTGAAGTGCCATTACAACAAAATTTTCTATTTGCCCATAAAATATACAATGCATAGGTATTTGCAATGCATGTTTTCACATATACTGTACCATAACTGCCAGGAAGGATCATCCCTAAGGGCAAGATCATCTGCCTCCAACCACACTTTTAGCTAAAAGACTAGCTACTGAAAAGGAAAGCTGCAGTTTGGCCAAACCACAAAATAAAAGCCCATTACTAACTAAAGTTAGAATCATAGAATCATAAAGGTTGGAAAGAAGCTTTAAGATCATGAAGTCTAACCTATAGCCCTACACCACCTTAACACTAAACCATCTCCTGAAGTGCCACATCCAGCTGTTTTTTAAACACACCCAGGGATGGTGACCCTACTATCCACCCTCGGCAACACATTCCAATGCTTCACCACCCTTTCGGTGAAGAAATTTTTCCTAATACCCAATCTAAACTTGGCCTGGTGCAACTTGAACCCATTCCCTCTTGTCCTGTCCCTAAAATGTGGGATCCTAAATCCTAAAATGTGGGATGGATAAAACTGAATCAATTATTTAGCAAGGAAATACCCTGTAGTTGCTATGAATTCTTTGTATAGCATTCTGAGAGGTGACTACGTATAAGATTGTCAGTTCACAGATACCTGAAGAAGAACACGGGGTTGAAAATGCTCAGCAAAATTCCAATCTGTCAAACAACGCCTCTGAGTCTTTCTTATTTCTTCCAAGTTTGGTCCTAGGCCATAATTTTCAGGACTCACCTAAAAATACATCAAAATAAAATAATGAATATCAACATTTAGTGTCAGTTCTATTAAATTAACCATAATCTTGTTGCCTTAATAGACAACATCCCGCACTGCATTGCGTAATTGCATAATGCTGCACATGTGTAGACCTGTATGGCACTATTTAACAAAAAAGACAACTACTCCCAAGGGGGTTTGGTATTGGCTTTTTTAATGGCAAATATAATCTAAATATTTTTATTATTAGGTTATATGTTTCTGAGTTCTGTAAGCAATTACGAATATTTAAACACATCCTATGAAATATTTTAAAATTGCCATATTTATCCAGGGCTTTATGGCAGGAAGGTGTTTCTGAAGATCCCAAATTACACAGTCTATTAGTGTGACATAGTTCAGGAATTTCTCTAATCTCTCATGCTAGTATTTGACCCCTGTTATTCAGTGAAACCAGCACCGAATTGTCATTGGTAGCTTCACCAAGACTCATCACTTCAGAACTCAAAGAAAGCTATTTCATAGTGCTTATGGCACTATTTACAAAACATCAGAAAATTAACATTTGTGTGCACCACTGCAAAGGGATCTCCAGTAACATGTCCTGGTACTGAATAGTATCTTCTGATGTATAAAGCTACAGAGCAAAGTTTACTCCATTGCTCACACTTGCCATATGAGGAAAAAGAAGATCCAATTCTTCATTTGAAACTGGATCAGTCAGACCATCTCTTTCATCTCTGCCATTTGTTTCGGTACGTCCTGGAAATTGAAAGCAGAATTTTAAGAAGCATGCCAGAAACTTCAGCTCTAAACACTAAGTTTGGAGTGACACACTTTTCTTAGCCTCCATTGTAAGACTGCCATCAAGCTGAAGCTTCTTTTTATGATACTAGTCCAATAAATAAATCACCAGCTCTGTCACACTTCTTTCCTTCCTAAAAGAGCACTTTAAAATCAAGGGACAACAAGTGCCAGACTGATCATTAAAGAGAAAAAAAAATGGCAAAGAAAAAAGAGAAAGAAAAAAGTAGGAAAAAATAAAAAAAAGAGAAAGAAATAAGAAAAAACGAAAAAAGAGAAATCAAAACGATAAAAGAGAAAAACACTCTGTACGATCCATTTAAATCATTCTCTTTAACTATCCTATGCTGGATATTGCATGTTCAAAAAGATCAAAAACACTCTAAGAAAAGTCCTCCAGACTCGTATAGGAACAATAATTTTTCTGCTTACTATCCAAGAGAATAACAATAACTCCTTTGCATGGATGACAGAAAAAAAGAAGGCAAAATCAATTATTTTGATATTTTCACATATTTTTCAAAAATGCAAAATTTTGAACTTGAAAGTCACTGGATCTGAAGAGTTACAGACTATTACTTCTGCTGTGGATCTGACCACTCATTCCCCATAAACTACTGTGGCTACAATGGGCACCTGATATAAATAGGATCACATCGAGATTTTAATTTCTATGTTCTCATGATTTTTAAAAATAATTTCCTTTTAATAGAATTATTTATGCACAGAGTTAGAGCAGAGGTAACTAATATTTGATAAAAATTCACATGTACAATAAAAATACTCTTCCTGGGACAAAAAAATACGCTTGAGAGCATTTGTTCATAAGTGGTTTGTAACCAGGTCAGCTTCCAGACAGGTATCTTGAGGCTCTGCTTCTCTAGGAAATTAGACCTGCTTACTGACTGCCTTTAGAAGATTTAAGAAATCTGATAACATTTGCTGGTATCTGCTTTAGTGTTGCAGAAGTGATGAAATTTTGGTGGCTATATTTATAATTGCAATATTTAGCATTATGCTTAGCATAAAAATAAAATAAACCAACAACCAAAAAAGGTTCCCAAAATTTGGAAAAAAGGCAGGTAAGCAGGATTCATTTTGTCTGCTCCAACCTTCTAGGAAAAGGATCCCATCTAAGCTGGTTGCCTAGCATCTATCTTAGGAAAGCACAGGCATCATCCTGAATCTAAACATACAGCAGCTTAGACGGACCTAATTTCCATTTTTCTCACATCCCAGAAAAATAATCTCCTGTTTTTAATGTTGGTTTCTGGCCAACACTGCTCCAGACCAACAACTTTACTTTAGGCTAGAATATGAAGAAGGAGAAAATGTAGAACTTGTAGCAAATTCACTCTGCATTGTCTACAAGAGATCTCCATCTCTGATTCTTCTGACTAAAACGCTCCCATTCTAATACGAATGAGATGGTTGTAACAGCTTGAATGTCACATAGTAACTTGCTAAAGATATACTAATTGCACAGACTGGAAATGAAGTAGGAAAAAAATTACAGGAAAAAGTATGTATGCATGTGTAATTACAATATATAGTACAGCTTTTTTAAATTTTCAACTCTTTCTGTCACCTTCTAGATTCCTCACGAGTAAGCTACATATCCTTTTACTTCCTAATGTTCATTCACTAGTAATCATCTAATTACCCTTATACATCACTTCTGATTTCATTTTGTGATTGCTACTGACTGCCATTTCAATTCACAAAAGACTCTATTCAGAAAGGTATTTAATCATGTCTTCAATATTTTATGTCTCTAAAATATACTTGATGTCATAAAAAAATAGAACAGTTTCCTGGTACATACTTTTCTACAGATACAATTTTAAGGAGTTGCTTAAAAAAAATGTAGTTGTTATAGAAAATAGCTAGATTTGTCTACACCTAGTAATCCTGCTTAGATACTCAAGGTACAGATGATACAATACTTGAAATTTGTACAAGTAAGAAAAAAGACAGTCCCAAAATAGCAAACAATAGGAATTTAAATACTTCAAGAGCAGTGTGAACAGAGAGGTTTTTACCAGAGCCTCTTGGGGATTTCCCATTAAGCTTCTTTTCCATACGGAAGAGTTGTCTCAGCTGTCTTGCAAACCTGACTGGATTATTCCAAGGGACACAAGACACTTCAGAATCACCTCCAACCATAGATCCAGAGCTCTCCAGGAGACCAGAGTCACTCAGCTCAGTCAGCCTCAGGCTTTCAAAAGTAAACACCCTGAAGGCTCTTTCTACTTCAGCCCGACTCAGAAGTTCTATGAAAAAGTCACAATCATTAACTGAAAATGTCCTTATGGCTCAGCAGAAGATAAATTGAAGACTATGTAAGTGTATTGTTCTTGGCAACTCTGCAAAAGCCAACAACAATTTCCTTAACAGTACTGGATCAAATTACATGAGCTACATTTTACACCATATTCAAAGTTGAATGCTTCAAATTGCAAAATGATATGCCTAACTACTAATTCATCTTAAATGGAGTGTTTCCTAAATCTGAATACCTCTTGGCTCATTAACTTCATATAAATGATGTTGATTTTAAAATACTGAGTAGACTTTATCAAATCAGTTAGCAACTAGTTATTTTCAGTTCATGAAAAGGCTTCAATTATCATAAACATATTTACCACCTGTAGCTTCGCAAAGCAAGTTACACATTTTTTTCTCTCCAGACAAGATTTTACACAAAATTTACAAAGCAGTATGCAAGATTCAAAGGAAATAATAAATCCCATTTTTGGTTGTATGTATTGGTGTCCATATAACAATGATAATCACAAAAAGGACTTAATTTTTAGACAGGTAGTTCAATGCCCAAACTATGCAAAGAGTATCTTCAGTTCAAAATGTTTTCTCTTTATGGTAGTTAAACACCCAATCATGTCACACATCTTGAAAATGTTTGATACCATATCTCCCGTTTGAATCAGTCAGCTTTTTGATCAAAATGAAGACATTGCTAGCTAAGTTCACCGCTAGGAGATTCTGGCAGTATAGTAGGGTCTGCTGAAGAACAGCAAATTTGTTACCCATCAGCTGGAGCGCTATAGCAATACAGAATACTTTAACAGCTTAATGTCCAAAATGAACACACCAACAACTACAAATGCAGCAACTGTAAATTAATCCAACACAAGGGATTGCAGGCTGTATAGCCAGGAAAGTACCTTCAAATACTGGAACTTATACAACGGCATAAATGTAACCCAAGGGATTTGGATATTTGTATTTCTTAGTAGTCTAGAGTAAACTTGTGAAATTACCAAAGGGTATTTATGCAGTTTTTGGGATTGTTTTACAGTGTATGTCACGGTGGTATGCACACTCCAAGAAAAGGTAACTGTAGGAGTGATTATGGTTGAAGAAGTGAATGTTTTCTTCATTTGATAAAGAGACTATGATAGAAACCATTTCATTATTAACACCAACAGCTTACACAGAATGCGTCCTGAAAGCCATTTTCCACCTAAAATACACATGCTCCTCCACAGAAAGGGTGTTGGTAAACAAACATACAGTTTATGTTACTGTCTCATAAAATGCATTTTATGTCCTAGGATCAAAACAGCAACCTGTACACTCCACCCCCCTGCCCCCAATTTAGTAAGTGTTTATATGTTTGTGAAAATAAATGAGTTCCAACATGCTTTCAGCTCTTAATCATTCAATATTTAATAGTGATAGAGCCTTTTCCATTCACCATGAAACTGAGATCTAAAGTTAACTCTAACTTGTATAGTAGGCTAAAGTATAAGCAAGGATGTGAAAATGGGAAATTCTGCAAAGGTTTTAGGCAGCTGAAAAAACTTGTCTCAAAATTTCTGCTATTTAATAGGACCATCAACCAGAATACAAAAAAAAAAAAAGAAAAAGGAAGTTACACCAAAGGAAAAAGAAAATCACTTTACCATTGGTACAATAATGCATGAGCTCATGAACTCTGGCCAAGCGTTTAGCACTGTTTTCAGTTGAAGGAAGGGTGAAATGGATAAGTTCTGTAAGAGGCAGTTTATCCATCATTTCATGCTCAATCTTTTCTGGATTCAAGTTCTCCTTGACCTGGAACAAAAGTCAAAGTACCAGAGATAAAGCAATCCAAATCTGTGGATTTCTAAAAATTATGTTTGGACAAAGCAGTCTTTTTATAGGAAAAAAATAGAGGCATATGCTTAAATCAGTTGGATATAAGCCTAAATTTGAGCAAGTGCTCACAGAGTGGTTTTGAATCATGGTGCCAGATATTTTAGCCAGGAAAAAACTGAGATACGTGAGAGAATAACTGATGGCATTATAACAGATACATGTTAGAAGACATTTCCTTGTGCCAGCTAGACTCAAAAATTCTGGAATACAGAAATAAGTACTGATCCATTCAGACAGGCAGCAGGTACCTTCCACTCATCTTTCAGCTGGTGTGTGCTACTTCCTATATTAATGAAGTCTGTAAACTCATTGATCAGTCTGTGACAACAGCATTCCTATATATTTAAGGGTTTATCTTTTTAGACTTATTGATATGTTTCAGCTGTGCTGTATTGGACACTCTCAGCACCTCTTTCTTCAACTGTATCTTCCAAATCATTTTCCTCTACACAATTCCTCAAAAATCACCCTGTATGCTCAATTTACTCTGCAGCAATTACACCATATACATCAAGAATAAACCTCCTAAGAGTATCCCTCTTAGTGATTAATCAGTCCTGCCTTCTACCTCCAATATGTCAAGCTCAATTTGTTTCTGAATACTGTGTTAATCAATGGTTGTCAAAGTATTCCACAGACAACTTGTAATTTGTGAAGCCAAGCAGACACACCTTAGCTGTGAAATCTAGAAATGTATTATCACCTATATTGCCTTTGGAGTATTTTAAAAATTTAATGGTAAAACTACACTCTAGCTTTGGAAAGATCTGAGGAATTCACAGTGTATTTTTGCTTCAGAAAGTCAAGGAACCGTTACTTGGAAATAATCCCAAACTTTGCCTTTTTTGAACCTTTCTGTCTTTGTTAGAATTATGTCATGTCTTGGGTATACACTATACTCCAACTATTTAGACATCCTGAGAACACTAACAAACTCTGTATCTTACACTTCTCTACCTCTTAGTAGTCCACAGGCCAAATCACTGTTACCAAGTTAGTAACTCATTTTCTGCAGTTTAATCAGTGTTTGACTACAGTAAATCAATATTCTGTAATATCTCTCATCTATGCCTTACCATTAACACAAACAGATCATTGAAATCAATATAATGCTATTATGTCTGTGATGTGTCCTCCATCAGCAGCAGTAACTCATTGCTTCTTAAGCAGACTAAACATGTGCTAGTGTGTCCATCTCAGTATGAAAAAATTGAGGCTGTAAAAACACACTCCACCCTTTCTAGTGCAATGAGTATTCACCGCCTGTTGACTTTAGAACTGTTTACATATGACAGGTGCACTATACCTTCAGCAGGTGCAATCGCTGAGCCAGGGTATCATGGTAGTTAAATAAGATAGGGTATGTGGGGGTGACAGTCTTCTCTTCACTGTATTTAGGAGAAAAGTACTCATACAGATTCTGTTAAGAAAGAAAGATGTGTTAAATCCCAATAACCAATTTATTTGTCATTTCTGGAAATGAAGAAAAACCAACACAAACCTTTCTTTCACTCTCCGAAAGTGAAAGAGAAGGAAGGACAGAGGCTATATGATCTGCAATGGTATGATGCAGCCCATCTGCCCGGGGTTCTGGCACCATCAGACTAGGTGGTGTAAGGTCTTCTTCACTTGCAATAACCTGGCAAACATGATCTAAGTCAGCTTCCATTACTGCTGCTTACCTTATTAAAGCTACCAAGGAGATGCTGCTATAAGCTAAACACATGTCCATATGTTTTGTCAGGAAAGTAAACCACAAATTTTTTTCCTACACATAATAAAAATGCAATTCTCCATGTTAGTTCCTGCCCAAACCAAAGATTATAGAAACCAGAATTAAACGTTGAGAGTAATTAATGAAAATAAACAATAAAAAAATGATTCTGTGTCAGGTATTGGACCTAATTTTGAGTATTTTTGTATAGACTGCAGACTAATTTGTAAAAAGTAAAAGAAGAAATGATTGTGCTGTAATTTTACTTCTTAAAGAAAGATTTCCAAATCATACTGTGGGTCTTTGCTAACTCATAGATTGTGCCTGAACTCAAAAGACATCAGATCTGTACAGCACTAGTATTGATACATACCACTTCTATGTTAGGCTTGCCCTAAGACCTTCGTACTGAGTAAAAGTTTGGTATCAGTAACATCGCTGCAGGACATAAAACCTTGCTATTGACTTAGGTAAGAAATTATACCTTTTTCCTCATTTAATGATTGTATTGTATCTGTAATCTTGAAAAAATAATTTTGGAATAATACTCTCTATATAGGATAAGTACACAATACGAAAGACAATCAAAAAAGTAACTTCTGAGCTGTGATTCCTTTGTACTGAATCTCCCTGGTCAGTGCCCCCATGCACAGTCTCTTATTTTAGGCTGGACCAGATGGATTTATTGATCTTTTACCAATTCATTATACCAAGCCCAAGATGAATTAACCACATGAATTATAAAGAGAATATTCCAACCTGATCCAACATGCAGCTCAGCATTAAGGGTATAGAAAAATATTCCTCGGGAACCTCACTCAGCAAGTCATTGTAATACCTCATGTCCACGGAAGTCATGAAAGAAGAATCTTCTTCCTCTGTTGTAATAAGAGATAACACAGTAAGATCAATTTCTTTAAAAATGCCAATTTATATTACCAACCAGTTCTACCTTCAGAAAACTTTTCTTAAAAAAGACTAACATAGTCCATCACTACAGAGCTCTTAAAGCCGTCTGTGACTAGAAACAGATTTTTTGGTGATTTTCTAAAGAACTTAGTTATTACCACTGCAGTTTCCAGAGATTTTCACACCATCTTCACCAATAAATTACTCTCTCAACATCAGATCACATCTTCCTCTTACTGTGCAAATAGTTTCAAGGATTTGTGTCAGCAGATGAATGAATGGTACAGCAGACTAAACAGCAGTAGACCAGTGCTTTAATCCTTTACACATACCCTGTGACAAAATTACGGTTGGTAGAATTTCTTCTGCTTGCCCTTTTTTCTTTGAAAGTGTAATCTGTGATGATGGTCGTACCTAAAGGAACAACGACAACAACATGATAAAATCCCTCGGAAATAGCTGAACAAATGAAGATTGCACAAATAGGTAGGAAAAATTAATTTTATTAGCTTTGGTTACTCAACCAAGACTAAAAGCTAATCTTTAAAATGACTAGTATAAGGAGAGACAAACTCTACTTTATTCTGAATGGACTAAGGTAGTAAGAATTTAGTTTTGTGAATGCTTTATGTGAGTATTCAGTAGTACTGCTACAAATGGAGCAAGCATACTTTTTTTGTGCCATTAGTATATGCCCTATAAGCCACTTCCTTCAATCCAATTAAACTTTTGCCTACTATGAACAAAATAAACTGATCTTGCACAGAAATAATATTCTTTTCTTCATAGTTCACAGATCTGCAACAAAATACAGTAGCTCTGTGCAGGCATATTGGTTTTTCAGACACAAGAAGGCATCAGCAGAAGCTATTTACTTTATATGTGCACGATCCTTCAAATTCCCTTTTTTCTGTTGCCCTAACGCTTGTGGGGTTTTTTTTCTTATTTTTGAGTTTTTAAATATGGAAGAAAAAAATCCCAATTTCATTCACAGAAAATTACACATGGAAAGATGGTCCAAGGTGAATTTTTAAGTACAGAATTAAAGATGGTCAATTCAGGCCTGTAACTAGTTACTCTCTACAAGAAGCATGGTAAAGCACAAAGGTTCCTTGCCTCAGTTACAGATGGTTGTGTCGATTTGCTCTCTGATAAGGTGGGAACATTTATAAACTTGGTGTTTTCCAAGTAGTTACGATGCTGTCTTCTCCAGTCCAGGCAGTCATACATTAAACAAGCAATGCTTTCAAATAGTGCAGTGCCAAATGCAAGCTACGACAGAAAGTCAAAGGATGAAGTTTGCGTACACGAGTGTCACGTAACTTAGCCAATACGAGTCATTAGCTCTCTAACTAGCAGATATACAACTGTTTATAAAAACTATCAATGGATTTTTTTTCTCCACTTATTCAAAAATTTTATAGAATTATTCTAAGTAACCAAGGCCTCTTCATCTTTATTTGCCTAAACACTGCCACACCACATGGACTTCAGCTGTTTTAAAGCCTAACTGATATTAACAGTAACCGTTCCAGATCTGCTCTCTTGCAACTGGAATTTAAGTTATTTTTCTGGATAGGAAGGAACAGAGGAGGCAACTTAAAATAATTCTTTTGTATCATATGTGCATGTTTCCATTGGTGAGCATCCTGCAGCACATTTGCAAGGACAAGCATTCTCCTGTCCTAAAAGGAAAACAAACAAACAAACAAATAACCAATGTAAACTCATATTATCATCTTTCTTCCTGTTGCCTTTCTAAAATAAAGAAAGCCTCAAGAAAAAGAACTGAACTCTAAATTTCATAGTTGTGCTAGCACAGGAATGTCAGCATGCCAGCTGAATGCCCAAAGGGAGAATGCTGTATGAGCAAAAGTCTAAAAAGGAAAGGTTCTTGAGGTGATGTACTGTGGTTTTCACTGAAGCTTGGGAGGAACAAAAAGAACAATGCCAAATGCTATTTTAGATGGGAAATGCTTTTGTACAAACACTCTGTCTGAGATCACATGCCACACTCAATTTCCAGTGGCTTTAATGGACATATTAATAATAATGGACATATTCTTCCCATGTACATCCCAGGCATTGTAAAAAAGATGAAACTATAGCAATTTTTAGACAATTTCTGTGAACAGAAAATTTTCTGAGTGATTATTTAATTTTTGGGAAAGTAAGGGAAGTCTTCTGTCTTAAGAAGTTTGTCTCTAAGAGGTGGCTATCAACATTGGATGTTTCCTAAAATGAAACAAGGTGAAGAAGCACAACTATAATTAAGCACCAAATATATCAACTGGCCCTTAAGAAGTATTAAGCATTTGTTTTCTTTAACTCAGACCTTCTTTATAGCATTTCAAAACAAGCACCCCAAATCACTGATCAGTTGTGGAACCTACCAGTTTTCGAAATGTTTAAAGACTAGAGGACATATTTGGGAGACAATTACTATTTGTGAAAACAGAATTTTCACAATCGATATTCCTGAATTTTGTTTTTCCAATTCAATACTCTTCTGAGAAATGGGTTAGTAAAAACGGCTTCCATTCATGTATTACAAGAGATCACTAGAGCATGTAAAAATTTCAGTCAAAGTACTGGAGTGTTTTGAATGCACAACCTTTTAAACCTCTTCTTCTTAAGCAAGAATTTTTACAAAATTACAAGTAATGCAAGCTGGCTCTACTCAACACAAAGTTCAGTATAACTACAGTTTTGTGATTCAATTTGCCTGATCTCTCCTCTTAGGACAGACAGAGATGCTTGTCAGAAGTTCTCCGAGTCCAAACACTAGTGACTCTTCAAGAAAGGAAAACAATTTTGAAAATATATTTTTTAAAAATAGCTGAAATCTGAAAGCAGAAATCACTCACTGCATATGAACTTGCTCTATCTAATACTCTACAATTTTTCTATCAATGTCTAACAATTTGTCACAAGAGTCTTCCTTCTGTGTATCTTTGACTTCAGAGACACAGTAAATTAGGACTTGGAGAATCTCCAGGAAGTCCACTAGAACAGTCTTACTCTCACCACCTACGCTTTCACAACTTCTGTTCTTTAAAAACTTTAAAATATTCTTCTTTAAAAACTTAAAAATATTCCTACTCCTCTAGAGCTCTGGTGAATTCTGAGACACAGAAGAGCACAAAATTACAACTAATTCTGTTTGAATAATTTCAGTGACAGATCACTTTTATTTCAGCTATAATATAGCTGCCTGCAGAATATTCATGAGTAACAACAGTCCCCTATATGATGTGATTATGGAGAAGATAGATAAAATTAAAAAAATTCTTTGCCCAAATAGGTTTCATATTTTAAGATTAGATGAAGAGTATAGCAATAAGCCCTGTTTGTAAGTAGCAAGTGTACACATATTAACAATTTAGCCATTTTTAGTGAACACCTTAGAAACCACTGTGGATTTAGCCAAACTTGGTTCTGATCCCTTAATGATCAATAGTACTTTCTAGCTCACCAGACTGTTTATATACAGGATTTAGTGTACTATATAGAAGTGTTAGGAGGATGTAGTCTGTCCTTTAACCCTAATAATATAGACTACAAATACAATAGGTTAAATTATGGCACGTTGCTTTATTTTGCTTTAGTAGTTTATATTTTTTACTGCTGCTATTATGGACTGAAAAATTCTGGACCCTTTTAGATCACTATGCCTGAGAACCCAGGCCAGAAAAAATTTCTAATGGTTCACTTTCTCCCGCAGTGCCCAGTAATAGTCCTGACTCAGCAGGCTACTGTGAGGAATAAGCCAGAGCTATTTTTTGGGTTGGGCAAAAAATAGTACTGTCTATGCTAGACCAACATCTTATATCAAAAAACATTTCTGCATTCACTTGAATCTGTTCTCATGTGACCATTACAAGATAATAAATAGACCTGCTGTTATAGGGACAAAAATATAATTTTTGTGTTATTTCATATGGACATCCAACTCTCTAATGAGATCCAAACTGAATCTATGTAAAGATGCTGAACAAATTTAATAACTCAAACTCTTTTAAAACTCTGCTGCTGTGGCCTACAATACCAATAAACTTCAAGTCAGGTATTTTCATTCAAAGGACTCTTTGTGAATACATGCTGAATACATAGGAAATATTTTCTTTTTCAAGATTACAAATATACTAAATTACTCCGGTTCTGTTTGATAAAAGACTAAGCTAAAATTCCTGTAATTTCTAAACTGGTCTTAAGTGTTGCAAACCCCATAGCATGCCATGCATTTTCAAAGCAGATTCTACTGACCAGCATTTCTCTGTCAGACCAATCAGGGGGAAAGGCACTTTCCTTAACTAGGTGATGAAGTCTGGCAACATCAAAGAGACTTGATCCATGCTTTCCACTGTTCAGAACAGGCTCCAGGTATTTCCAAAATGTTTCCAGGTCTTCATCTTTCTTTCTTTTCTCTGCTTCTGCAACTAAATTTTTTTAAGTATTAGCTAATTCATAGTACAATGTCTCCCTTTACATAAAGCACAAATCATATATTAGTCTTCCATAAGTACTGTTAAAATATTTCCATCCTCAGAGTCTCAGCAAAAATCCATCACCTAACTTCAGAATTAAAAAATTCCAGGAAGATAAAGCCTCAGTAAAACACGGTACTTCTTTCAGAAGAAAGCCAAAAAACAAACACACAGCCCTACCTCTCCCTCTGATTCCAACTAAACGACAGCAGTGGATGTCTGAAAGCTAGGAAATGTGAAAATCCCACGTAGCGCTTTTCCAAATTTGCCAGTGCATACCTTGGTAAACCTGTTATTTATATATACGGTAAGCAAGCCTTAACACCACAATTTTACTGGTGTGGAAATGGGGGCAAAAAGAGTTTAAAGTACGGTATAACTATCAAAAGTGAGCCTACTAGTTGTATGGCTTACATTTTTACTGCACAGTAACAATGCATTTTCAAAAGTGTTCTAGCTATAGCAAAAAAAAAAAGTTCTTTCTTAATGCCTATCTCACAACTGCACTCCGGAATCTAAGACCAACTATACTTTTTATAGCCTAATTTAAGAGCAAGCCTGCAGTGACTTGCTTTCATTTGGACTTATGGATGCTCATCACTTCTAAAACCTAAGTATGAAAGCCAAATCCTTCACTTATATAATTGCAGTGGCCCCTCAGGTTCAAAACAAAACAACTCAGTGATGCTGCAGACTCTTCAAAAAACGCTGATCTCCTTAAGGTTTTCCAAGTTATGTATGCCTCCTGTAGCAGCCATCAGAAACGTTCGCCAACTAACTTACAAAACCGTTTTACCATGATTTAGAAGTTATGTCTCATTAAGTGATTCTAGGAACTGGGTAGAAAATATGGAAACCCTCTGCCAAAAGATTCTATAGATTATATAACATATTCATATGAGTTTAAGGGGGGACGGAACAAGTGCTTAGAAAACAAACAAACTAAATCTGTTGAGGCTTACTGTATTGGTTTGGCCTGGCCAGATTACGGCAGCGGGGCGGGGTGGGAGCTGCAGGGTGGCTTCTGCAAGAAGCTGCTAGAAGCTTCCCGAGTCTGATAGAGCCAATGCCAGCCGGCTCCAAAGAGGGACCCGCTGCTGGCCAAGGCTGAGTCTATCAGTAAAGTGATAGGAGAGGAACAACTCTGTGAAAACACATTTAAGAATTGGGAAAAGGAATTGTGCCACAACAGCTGGCACAGAGATGGAGGAGTGAGAATCTGTGAAGACACCAAGGTCAGCGAAGAAGGAGGGAGGGGAGGATGTGCTCCAGGCACCGGAGCAGAGAATCCCCCAGGTCCGTGGTGAAGCCCATGGTGAAGCAGGTTGTCCCCCTGCAGCCCATGGGTGGGGTGTAGATGTCCACCGTGGGGCAGAGGACACCACGCTGAGTGGGTGGATCCCTGAAGGAGGCTGTGGCCCATGGGAAGCCCGCATCAGAGCGGGTTGCTGCCAGAGCCTGTAGCCCGTGGAAGAGTGAATGCCCATGCTGGAGCAGGTTGGCTGGTGGGACTTCTGTGACGCTGTGGGGGACTCACGCTGGAGCAGTCTCCCCTGAAGGACTGCACCTCAGACTCACAAGGGGCGGATTGCCCCTCGTGGCGTGTCTCACATTGGGCAGTTTGTGATGAATTGCCCTTTGTAGGATGACTCACGTCGGAGAAGAAAGCGTGAAGCTTGTCTCCCGTGAGAGGGACTCCACAATGGCCCTGGGGAAGTGAAGAAGCAGTGGAACCAATGTCACATGAACTGACTGTAACCCTCATTCCCTGTCTCCCTGCATTGCTTGGGGGGAGGAGGTGGAGAAACTGGGATTGATGTTAAGCCCGGGAAGAAGGAAGGGATGGGGGGAAGGTGTTTTTGCTTTTAAGATCTGTTTGCTTTTTCTTATTTCTCACTACTCTCCTCTGATTTATTCTCTTAATAAATCTAATGAATTTCCCCAAAATTGAGGGGTTTTGCCTGGGATGGTAAATGCAAGTGATCTGCCTGTCCTTATCTCAAATCTTGAGCCCTTTGAAATATTTTCTCCCCCTGTCTAGCAGAGAAGAGGGGGTGAGAGAGGGGCTGTGTGGGCACCCAGCTGCCATCCAGGGTCGAATCATGACACTTACTAAAAAGACAAAATACATCATGGTCAGGAAAATATGTGGACTTGAAAAAAACTGGCAGCTAGGTGATGTTTGTGTTGAGAAGTGTACTTACTACTTTTTTCATTTTCCTTCCATTCCCCTCTCTTATTCTTCCTAGAGCATTAGTTATCAACACTTCTGGAGATATATCACTGGCCTACATGTTCCTTGATCTTAAACAGTTCTACACTCCTAAGAGCTCATCTCAGTGACAGGACCAACCTTTCTCTTTGTTTTTCATCTGCTCATGAAAGATATCCTCTAATTCAGGACAATACCTCACCTGTGGCAACGTTCCCCTAACAAAATCAGCTTTGAAACCACATCTTGGCAGCATAACAGCATCTAGGGCTGCTCAGTCAGTGGATTAACCTCTTCAAATTTTTGCAGCCACCGAGAGGAGCTGCTTCAGAGCCTGCTGGCAAAAAATCAGAGTCCCGAGGGAGGGAGACACTAGGGTAGCCAAGAGATCCAACCGGAGCAAGGAGACCTGGGTGTTACTGGGGCAATGTTGACCTCATCTACATCCTTAATAAAAAAAAAAAACAAAATGTGCAGAGCAAGCAAAGAACCTGTGTGTTTAAGTCAGTGTGTGGTGTAGCAAGGTGTGGGAAGGGTAGAGAATGCAGGGAAGAACTGAAGCTCTGCCAGTTGACATGCAAGTCTCACAGGTGGTCATCGCCCTCTTGGTAGGAGCTTAGCTATGGTCTCTATGAGGCAGAAGGTCATGGTCCCAAAACTTGCCAAAAGGGATGTGGGAACCCAGACAGAGTTCCCATGGAAACATACAGCTGTCCAGGTCACGGGCTGCAGGGACTGCCAGGGCCTGTCACTAGTAATGGGTAGCGGCTATGAGAACAGCTGTGTGGGGTGTGAACAGCTGGAAGACCTGCTCAGCATGGTGGCAGAGAAGTTGTTGAGTGGTTAGGGAGCAGCAGGGAAGCAGAACAAGAGATAGATTGGTGGAGCCAGGCTCTGCCTTCTTTGAAACAGAAATGGGAGCATCCACTGGAAAGTACTCTGGATCAGGGGGCCTCAATATTGCTCCCCTGCCACGCCAAAGGCAAAAGCCTAAAAAATTAAAAGAATGAATGGAGGCAAGTTCATGCTTGCGACACAGGGAAATTTCCTCCTTGCCCACCTCGCCCCGCCATGTGCCTCTGTACAACAGGTACCAGGCTCTGGCTGAGGAAGGCCAGCCAAATGAGGGTGTGGGCGATGGGCAGTCTGTGCCAGAGGTGTCTCATCAGTCAGTTAAGCCCACCGCCTGCATCACAACCACATCTATAAGGAAAAAAAGAAGGGTTATAGTAGTAGGTGACTCCCTTCTGAGGGGAACTGAGGATCCAATATGCCAAGTAGACCCTCAGCACAGGGAATTGTGCTGTCTCTCTGGAGCACGGGTTAGGGACATCACTAGGAAACTTCCTTAGTGGTCTTCCATGTAGGTGGAGATGAAACTGCAACCTGTAGTCCATAAGCCATTAAAAGGGACTTCAGGGTCCTCAGACAGTCAGTGAGGAAATCCAGGGCACATTTCAAACCTGTCATCTAGCCATGTGTTTCCCAGCCTCTATTTGTACATTTAACTATTCTTGTATAATCATACTATATTGTCCACATTACACAGAACAGTCTTTTTTTCCAGATTATTATTCTCTATTCTGTCAAGAATATTTTTGCATTTGAATAACACTCCCTTATTCCAATACCCACAATGCCAAGTAATACTAGATCCAGCACAAATTCCCTTGAGTTCACTCCATGCATCCCTCTATTTGACAGTAACTCTAAAGAGGCCAAAATTTTTGAATGAGAATGCACCTACTACATATTTATTTTCATGTAGACCTACCTTGCTCACTATATCCAACACACACTACTCGTCTGCTCAGAAGGCTAGTACTTCATTTTGTAAGGAAATTAAACTTGTCTGACACAATTTGTTCTTGAACAGCATACACTAGCCGTTACTCATTTCCTCATTTTTTCTTGTAAGTGGTTATAAGAAAGAAATAATTTACAATAAGTTATTTTGTTCCAGTATTTTTCCAGAAACAGAAATCAAGCAGATTACAGTGCCTTCCCTCTCTGTGTTCCTTTCTCTCTTCCTCACAATCTTTTTCTACTATCTCACTTGCTATTTATGAGCTCCCAAATATAAATCAGAATGGCAAGCAAATCTTTAAATATAATACAATTTCAATTAATCTGAATCAGCTGATCTGAAAAGTTCTCCACCTTACCTAAGTAGCACTCAAGTTATTTTTAGCTATTCCTCCATGATCTGAAACCAACTCTTTCTGCTAACAGCATTAATTGTGGTTACAATTATCACGTGTTCGCAATGGTATTTATAGTGAAAACAGATTAACACATTCCTCCCCCTGTCAACACACATGCCAACAAGAAGTACAAAAGTCTCTCCAAAAACATTAACTACTGCCACCCTCCTCAGGATCAGCTCCACATAGTTCTTCCTCTCTGCTGAGCAGCAGACAAACATTTTCTTTAGTCCTCCTCTGGCACTCCATTTTGTACCCTAGTACTTCTGGTTCTGTGACAACAGGCTCACAAATAAACATATATACTCACTCCTACTGATCTGACCTATTTCTGCTTTTTAAATGCTTCTTTATATCTGACGTGCGCAAAGAATGCATGGTTTAGCTAAGCTGTTTTCTTATAATGCTACCTATCTTTAATGAGGAAAACTTGCATTGCTATCTGTAACACTGCTTACACAAGATACTATCATCTACATTTACATTTTTTCCCCCTTTAAAACGTTTCCTCGCAAGTTTTACTTACTAAGTCTTCCTACTACTACCACCTGTTCTTTGTCTTGTATGTATAATACAACCTTGAAAATATTTCGGGAAACCTGCCCCCGTCCCCTGACCCCCAGTAGGTGTTGTGAATAAAAAGAAAATAAACAAATCCATGTTTTCTACTCTCTGCACTTTCAGCTATTTTCAAATAATGGCTTTTAAATTTTGCAAGTTCAAATAAAACCATAAGAAGCTGGAAACTACATCTTCCTCTCATCCTTGGCCCAGAGATAAGACTGCTCATTAAACAAATTCAAATATGACACCACTTCGAGTTCATCAATTGGTGTTACGGTTGCCCAGCTCTTAAAGGCTAAATCTACATGATTTATGTTGGCGCATCTTAGCATCTTTGGAGACAGATTCCCTAGTGCCTACACAAGCTAACCTGTAGCATTTGCCGTGAGGCAACATAAGTATTTCATTCTGTCAACACAAATGGGAAGGAAGGAGCAGCACGCTGAGGTAGTTCAGTCTTCAGTTTGTAGTCATCATTGGTTAGGATGGCACTGAGCCCCATCATCCCATCTCATGTCCTTCAGTATTCCAAAATAACCAGCCCTCATAAACCACTCTCCTGCACAACATACCCAGGACACTACCCCTCTCATTTACTGGGTTGGCCATGCCCTCTCAACAATGTCAGAATCTATCACAAGGGATTTCCCAGAACCACAGAGAACACTGCAGGAAGTCAACATGCACAGTTAAAATTGAAACCATACACACAAGTATGAACAATTACAACTACCAGTTCAGTTTTCTCACTTGCACTCATTTATCACCAGATTTTGAGACATATTTAAAATAACTCAGGTCAGACAGGACCTCAGTCTACTGCTCAAAGCATAGTCAACAGGAAATTCAGACAACAGGCTCGGGGCTTTATCTATCTCAGTCTTGAAAACTTCCAAAGACAGAGCTCCCACAACCTCTACAGGCCACCTGTTGCAATGCTTAACTGCCTTTCGGGTAATTTCCTGCCTCTCCCTCCTCCCTGTCACCCCTTATATGCTGCCAGAATCTTCTATTCCAGTCACAGAATTGCAGAATGGCTGATGTTGAAGGGGACCTCGGAGGGTCATCTGGTCCAACTTTCCTGCTAAAGCAGGGTCACCTAGAGCAGACTTCCTAGTACCATGTCCAGATGGCTTCTGAAGAGTTGCAATGATGAAGACTCCACAGCTTCTCTGGGTAACCTGTGCCTATGTTCAGTTACTCTCACAGAAAGAAAAGAGAAAAAAAAGAAAAGTGTTTCTTTGTGTTCAGGTAAAAGGTCCTGTGTTTCAACTTTTGCCATCACCTCTTGTCCTGTCACTGAACACCACTGAAAAGAGCTTGGTGGCTTCTCCTTTGCACTCTCTTTTCATGCATTTAGACACATTGACAAGATCCCATTGTGCTTTCTCTTCTCTGGGGTAAACATTCCCAGCTCTCTCAGCATCTCCTTATAGGAGAGATGCTCTAGCCCCTTAAACATCTTTGAGGTTATCTGATGGACTCTCTCCAGTAGTTTCATCTTTCTACACGGGGGAGCCAAGAACTGAACATAGAACTCCACGTGTGGCTTCACCTGTGCTGAATAGAAAGGAAAGATCGACTCCCTTGACCTGATGCAGCCCAAAGATACCATTAGCCTTGTTTGCTACAAAGACTACCCTCAGGTCCTTTCCTGCCAAGCTGCTTTCCAGCTAGTCAGCCCCCACCACAAACTGGTGCATGGGGTTATTCCTCCCCAGGTGCAGGACACTTTGCCTTTTCCCTTATTGAATTTTATGAGGTTCCTGCCAGCCCATTTCTCCAGTCTGTTGAGGTGCCTCTGAAGAGCAGCACAACTCTCTGGTGTTTAAGCCACACCTCCCAGTTTTGTATCATGAGAGTACTTGCTGAGGGTGTATTCTGCCCCACTATCCTGATCATTAATGAATATGCTGAGTAGGACTCATATCACTGATCACTACCCCCTGGGCCAGGCCATTCAGCCAGTTTTCAATTCACGTCATTGTTTGCTTATCCAGCCCATACTTCATCAACTTCTTTATGAGAAGACAGTGCCAAAAGCCAAAAAGTGAAGGCAGACAATATTCACTGCTCTCCTCTCACCTATAAAGCCAGTCATTTTATCATAGAAGGTTATGAGGTTCAGTAAGAATGCCTTCTCATTCGTGAGTCCACACTGACTGATCAATTTCTTGTCTTTCATGTGCCGGAAAACTACTTCCACGATTATCTGTTTCATCATCTTCCCAGAGACTGAACAGAGTCTGAGTAGCCTTTAGTTGCTCGAGTCCCTTGTTCCTGCCACTTCTGAAGACAGGAGTGACATTCACTTTCCTGCAGTCCTCAGGCACCTTTTCCAATTGTCATGATTGTTCAAAAGTTATTGAGAATGGCCTCACAGTGATATCACAGCCGGCTCCCTCAGTATTTTTGAGTGCATCCCATCAGGTCCCATAGACTTACAGCTGTTCAGTTCGCTTAAGTATTCCCTGATTGACCCTTTTCCTTCCTTCAGATTTTTCCCTTGTCTCTGGGGCCTGAGATTTCCAAATGCTGCTCATGATCACAACTGCTTTGTCTTCTTTGGTATACCTCAATAAAGAGTCTTGCTCTGTGTACCTGGTAACTCTCAGAAGTGTTTGAAAGATGCTATTAGGTGACACATAAGCCTTCTCTTCTGCAGATCAATCAAGCCAAGGTCCTACAGTCACTCTTCACAGGGTGGTGGTCCACTGGACTTAATCAAATTTATTAGTATCCTTCTTGCAAAGTAGAGTCCAGAACTCTGTTCTCATGAGAGCCAAGTGACAGGACAGAACCACTTCCCTTGATCTACTGGCTAGATTACTACAGCTGAGTACAGTTAGCCTTCCTTGATGACTCATATGTAGCTTGCTGTTCACCAGGATCCCAGTTCAAGAGAAGTGCTACAGTCTGGGGACAGCTGAGTACAATTACAGGGTGTTATCCTGTAGCATATTCTTCTCTGGCTGGGGCCACATTACCAACATAGCCAGCTGTGTGCTTCCCTTGAAATTACCAAATGAGCTGAGCTTGCATAGCAACACACCTTCCTGGCTTATGATTCATAGAGGTATGCATTTGATAAAATGTTATTCTTCGGTAGCTGCTGCAGAAAACTATGGCTGCACCCACTGCCTGCTTAGTCAGGCCCTCTTTCTACTGTTCAACTGAGACAAGATTTTGCACTGGCAAATCATACGGTTTGGCGACCAACCAATGACAATACCATTTTTGCACTGGCAAACAACACAGCTGCTCACAGGTAGTGTGCACAAACACAAGACACAGAGGGGAAGAAAAACACAACAGGAACTGTCTTTACTTGGATATAAAATAACCGCTGTCCTACACAAATTTTGTTTTTATGACCAGATTACCTTGAGGTGAAACTAAAGATTCTTTATGAAGTTCAGTTGCTTCCAAGTATGTCTCCAATGGCTCATAATTCTCAGAAGAAATTCTAATTACACTTGAAATGTTAATCCCAAGTTCAGACATCACCGGCAACAGCTGAAGGTTGTGGAAATCCAAAATTATAAAGTAATGATGGGCACCATCATCTGGTTCATCATCTGCTCAAAACACAAAACCAGATTAGAGCAAGGATATTCAAGAGCTAAACAAAAATACTTCTTTTCTTGACTATATAGAGATACTGCAAATTAAAGTGAGATAAACAGTTCTTTTATAACCTTATTGGGATAATTACATATAAATTCCAAACTATGTGCATTAGACTGAAGTCTTTTGTAGTAAACCACCTAGAACTCAGCAGAAAGAATAGAAGCCAGAAGAAATAATTGTTTGGAGAATCATCAGCATAAAAAAATGGAGAAGCAGATTATATTCAGAATGCTACCTGTAGCAGCATTTGTGTAACTGTTTCTCTTTAAGGAGGAATTTAGTGTCAGGACATATTCACATGCTCTAATGGTAGCTCAAGCTATCCTACTTCCTGCATAAAGCTGGCCAGGGAGCACACAGAGAGTAAATTACTGTTTTAGTTAAGAGATTACACTAGCTGTTACAATTCTGAAGGATTAGTTGAAGGTATGAGCTGACTCACTGCTGACTGCTCTCTGCCCAGCAGGTTCATGTGTGCCAGCTCACAGGACTCATTCCTCCAAGTGAGGAAAAAGTAGGCAGAAAAAGAGCAGCCTGGGCCCAATATCTGCCTATGATCGGGTATATGTATTGCCAGGGCTGGGTAAATGCTGCTACCACCTGGAGCAGCAGGGTGGCATCAAGTTGCCTCTCCTCTTCTTGCAACATTAGGTAAACATGAAAGAAATTAGAAATTTGTACAAAGACTGACTGAGGAAGCAGTCACCACAATCCAGTACATATACTGCATAAAGCAAAATCAAAAACCAGAAGAAATCTAGTCCACTGTATCACTGCCTGTACTGAAACTGAACTACATATTTTGATGCCTCAGTTACTGCAGAAAGCAAAAGCATAAACAAGTACAATTACTGAGCATTTATGATTCCTAACAGAAGTGACAGATGTCTGCATAGTGACTTACAATGATCCAGAAATTCCAATGCATGCTGAAGACCGCCTGCCATTCAATTGTTATGATTATGCTAATAGTCATGACAAGTTGATAATAACCAGCCATTTTTATCTTTTTTTTTTCCTCTCAATACAACTATATTAAAACTAACAGGGGAGGTTTCGACAATAGGAAAAATTCTTTACTGAAAGGTTATCAAACATTGGAATAGGCTGCCCAGAGAAGTGGTTGAGCATTTAAAAGATGTGGCACTTAGGGACATAGTTTAGTGATGGACTTGGCAGTGCTAGGTTAATGGTTGATCTCAATGATCTTTCCAACCTAAATGATTCTATGAGAGTTGCCAAGAGTGCTGAAAAAAACATTTCTCTGTATCTACTTCATGTATCATCAGGGTTCTTCATGTCTTCTGCTCAGACACTTCTAAAACATGGAATATGCATGAAGATTTTTAAAGTACTACATTCTTGGTAGAAAAGTTTCATAGAACTGTAAGTTCCTGACACTGAGAAACAGAGCTGGCACCACTCTGCCCTAAGACACAAACCAAAGCTTTGTTGTGAGGTTCTGGAGAACCTGAATTGGCATTTTCTCAAGGAAAGAGAAAATCCTGACACAGTTGTTTCACTGCACATAATACTCATCTAAATGGTCTCCAGAAGTTTTTGTAATACTTGACTTAATTTTCTGCTGGTATGGACTTCTCTGTGGAACTGTCAGGAAGAATGAAGAAACAATTACTGCTTCATAAAATAACACTTCTGTTCTTCCTGTAGCTTAGAGTGAAGGGTTAGAGGGATGCTGTCTTTCTTAGTGCTGTAAGTTCCTTCTCACTGTTCTCAGCAAGACTAGAGGAAGTAGCAAGGTGAGGTTAGCTTTCACGTTGGAGGTAGTTCTTCAGACGGAAATCAATCCACTGAACACAATTTTTTTTGTATCAGTCAGAATCAACTTGTTTATTATTAAGCCCAACTGTGTGGATGCACAATGAATGTGGTGAATTGTTCAGAATGGCTGTAGCTCAGTACTATTGACCAAACACAAAATATCTCTGCAACTTCTCCTTCGAGGCAACTAGCAACCACTGCTATTTTGTAAATAACCTTGGTACTAATGAGACAAATCATAGTCAATAAACAGCAGTGCTAGCAGTTCATAACATAAAGCTATTAAACATGTTAAACAAGGATATTTTTCATGGCCGTTAGTTTTAGGAGGCAATTTCTGTTTTCCTTATTTTGTTTTCTCATTAACCATGACTAAAAAGGCAGCAAAGAATGGATATCTTAGATGGGTACATAATGTTTTCTGTCCATCCTTCAAGGCAGTAAGGAGCGGGCAAATTGTTTCTACCAGGCCTAGTGGAAGCCAAACCTTATCTGAAAAAATGAGGAGCTATGCACAGATAGTTACTGTTCTGTTCTTGCAGTTCTTCACCAAGATTCAGACTTGCTCTAAACATCTGGACCAATGCTTTTTAGATGCTTGAAGAGTCCTATCGATCTCAACAGGTGACGATCTAATGAAAGAGTGAGGAAAGCCTGCAGCAGTTCAGCTAGGGAGTAGCAGGTACGCACAATGCATTCAAAAATCACCAAGTGTTTCTCCAGCGGAAGAGAGCCTGTTTATGTTGATGTAATTCAACTATATTACGGTCCAAATTAAATAACTCTGATCTAATGAGAAGAACTATGCATATTCTCAAATGTTTTTTTGTCCCAGTGAAATTTGTAACTGCAGGTGCTAAATATTAAGAAAAAAGATTTTCTCAGCACCAGTTAGTGTATTATTCTTCACTTTGCATAGCTCATTTCTGGAGCAGATTTCTTCAGGTCTCAGTTCTAGCCACTTATTTTTACAGCAAATGAAATCATACTGCTGTTTGTACAGAACCACACAATGATAGACAGCTTTGTTACATTTTACAATACAAGGAGAAAGACACCTTTGAATACTACTACAAATGCATTTAGTTATTCTGAAATCTTTCCATAAGAATGGTTTTCTGTAGGTTTTGTTTAGCCACTTTCTTTCAGTCTTAAACATTTTGATGTTGACATGCTACATATACCTCGTCTGAATTTTATTTTTTGGACTGCACGATCTATCTTAACACTGAGGAGAACACAGTGCCCTCTTCAAATACAAAGTGGCAGTGCTTTAACATTGCCAAATAGATTTTGACTTTTCAACGTGGAATAAAACAACGTACTGAGAAATTAGGTTGCAAGATTTGTATCAAGTTCATCAGGAATATATCTGCATTTTTTTACATACCAATGTATTTGTTTTCCTCTTCCACTTCTCCCCGCCGCTTCAGTTTGGTGCCCTTTTTAACAGTGCCTGGTCCTAGAGCGCCTGTTTCTGTCTTTTTTCCTTTCTTTTCTTTCCCAGCTGTCTTGGCGCTAGGGAGGTTCTTCTTGCCAGGAGATTCAGCTTTCTCTTTCCTTCCTTCCTTTTGTCGCTCTTCTTCTGCCTGATAAGATGAAAATTTAAACAAAGTTCTCATTATAACATTTATGCAGAACAAAGGGCAGACTGCTGTAAAACTTTAGTGGTTCCATTTTTTTATGTGAATACTCTTCCCTCCCAGTCACTATAATGTTGATGGGGTAAAGCTGTCTTGAACACTCTGCTTCATCCTTCTCAAACACAACATTCAGTTCATTATACTCTTACTAATTCACAGTGTTAAGACTTCCCATTAAAAAGAAACTGTGAGAGGTAGGAAGATATCATACCTACAAAACTACTGCATGCTGCAAAACTAATGCATACTGGTAGAAAGATGGGTAAAGAATCACTGTGCTTGGTTACTGCCACTACAGCACTTACATCAGCCAGAAACTTTCCCTGGACTGAAGGGAAATAAGACAAAAATTCAATTTCTCTTAAGTCTTCAGCGTTGCCGTTAACACTCTTGAGTATGGTGTAAAATGGTGCCAGCATTATTTTTCTTTGATGTAAATATCTGTCCACTATAAACCAGAACCAAGAGTCTTGTGCTTGTTTCACACAGGATATTACTCAGTCACTCATTATTTTTCAAATAAAACCCCACATTAACTTCTGCTCAGTAATTTAGGAGTAAAGAATGTATTCCAAAGCTTCACACTATAAATCCAGAAAGCTCGGAGCCAGTGTAAAATTAACATAATCCAAAATATGTTAAGGTAAAGCAAGGTGCTGTTAGAGCTAGAAAGCCTCCACATTATTTCTAGCCAGCAGCAGTATTACGCAGTAACTACGCAAGAATAACATTTAGGGATTGTAAAGCTAAACTAAACACAACGAATCAATATTAACATAACTGAATGTTACCATCCTGCTAGTGTCACTTTAAAGGTTATTAACGCAAGAAGAAAACCTCTCCATGCAAATGAGATAGGGCAGCTGACTCTACACAGTTGCTTTCCTTAGATCCAGCTGGAAAAGCAGACGTCCCAGCTGTAGAAGTTGTGTTCAGTTCAAATTCAAAACCAAAGCAGAAAAATCTTTTCTTGCTTTTCCCTTCTTCATGCACTCCCTTTCTGTAAAATTTAAAAATGCCTTCAAGAGATTCTTAAAACTATTTGTGCTCTGAAATGGGGGATTTGGAAGCTTTCATTATTTTAAGTTTATTTCAGTTTTGATATTAACCCAAAGTTTTTGATAGTAATACTACGAATTCTAAGCTGATAAACGCATCAAAACAGATGATACAATCATCAGGCTACAAAGTTCACAATCAGCTTTATCTATTGCATCATTTTATGTAATTAAGCCTCAAATAAGCAGAGACAATACTGAACTTGTCAAGATTCCAACAAAGAACACGATTTGACATTAATACCTCAGGAAGTAGAGGACCTCTCCTGTTTAGGACTCTTTCCTTTTCCTCACAATGTCATATTTCTCTCTCCCTACAAGGTGCAGCTTTTTGTGGAATTTCTGACCTTCTATTAGCTTGACATTTTGTAATTAATTTATTTTAAGCTTCATATTACAGAATCTTATTACCTCAAATGGTTTTCTAATTCCAAGACACTTCTCTTCTGCATATTAATTAAAATGCATATATGTGTTAATTTATGACAAACTTCTACTCCTAACGAAATACAAAAATTTCACAATGGTTTATTTTTGTTTATTCACTTGCTGGTTTTCTTCTGCCAATCAATTCCATTAACTAATGTCTATTCTAAAAAACAATGGACAGTTATGCTGACTTTCTGAGCACCGATCTGCTAGTAAAACCCTAGTTTCAACCCCCAAGTTGCTGGTGATGGAACTTGTACTGTACAAGCTGGTTGGAAAGGATTAAAAATTTTATGGCAGACATCTTGAAGTTACGTTTCCAAGTTAAAAGCCAGTTTCTGTCCATTCTGGAAAGGAGAGCATCCTCACAGCCAAAAGCCCTCACAGATTCTTCATATATTTCTGTGATTTACACTACCATTTGCTAACTAATTTTGCAATGGACTTCTATGGGAACAGGACACAACACCTAGCATTCAATGTTCTTGTGTGCTAAACTTCATTCAACAATTATTCCCACAAATAGTATTCTTGATAAAGAAATTTATAGATTTCTCAACTACACAAAATCCACAAAACCATTTTCCTCTTGCATCTTTTACATGCATAGACTGTTTAGGTCTTCACATCATCGCATTTTACATCATAGTTTTTTTGATCAATTAACATGATAAACTATTGCAGCAATTACATGACTTTCTGATAATGGGCTCCAGCTACATGAATGTTTGCTGGGAGAGGACTATAGCAAAGACCAACTGTTCAGTAAGTTGCTGAAATGTACCACTGACTTTTTTCTCTTTTTAATTGCAGATGTTAGAAAGCAGTTAGAGGTCTGATCTGATTGCGATTCTGTGCAAGCTTGGTGAAATTTCTCCTAGAAAACATAAGCAATGTGATTGAAGCAATCTTGGAGCTAGTAGTGATGATCTTGGAGAACACGTGGAAGTGAGTTTTGGGAACACTGGAAAATGTGGTACCCAGTTCTGAGAAGCAGACTTCAAGGTATGAACTATCTGGAGAGAGTTCAGAGAAGACGAACAATCAAAAACTAGAAACCATTATATATGTTTGAGTTTGTTTAAATAAATACTTAATAGATTGCTGCAAAATGGAGTGTAAGAACTGTTGTCCACATTCCCAGTGAGAATTGAAGCAGTAATGGGTTTAAATTAAAGCAGGGTTGATAAGTTTAGAAACTTTTTCCAACTGGCTACATTGCAGAGATAGTTGATAAATACTGATTGCCATAGAAAATCGAAAGCATAGCAGTGGAAGGATTTAAAAAGAGGTACAAGAGACATCTGTCAGGACTAGTTTATGTAAATTTTATCCTGCCTTAGTGCCAGAGGATGGAATAGATAACTTCTCCAAATTTCCTCCAGAGAGACAATTTATGATAATAACTCCTTCAGAGAGCAGCTCTGCATCTGTCCTGGATATCTCTCAAGTAATAACCTCTCCTACCTTTACTTCAGCAGAGATATATTCAGCTGAAGCCAGTTTCTAGCTCTATTTTCTATCAATCCTAAGACTCAGCTAAGACATTACTGCTTCTCGCTCCGGCAGAGAGTTCTTGAACAGTATTTTTCCTTTTCTTCTTTTTTTTTCCATCTCACCTGCCTTTGAGTAATTGAGAACTTCTTCCCCAAAATCTAATTAACTTAAAACCAGATAAATTTCTACGCATCTTTCTTTTCAGTTACAAATCTAGGAAGTTAAGCATGAGGAAAAAGTTGAATTTATGGAAAAAGCACTAGAAGCATCTTTATCAAGTTAATTAAGCATCCTCCCAAAGGGGTACTATAGTACCTTCTTTTCAGCTTCTCTTCTCTGAAGGTCCTTCTGCTTGAGATAAAGCAGTTGAAATTTCAACAGCTTTCCAGTTAGTGTTACAGGAATTTCTTCACCACTATCCAGAATGGCTTTGGCTATTTCTATCACCTGCAGAGTTAAAAAAACCACCCAAAACCAATCAAACAAGCAAAAAACCCAACAAAAAATAACTATTACTTCTATAGTTTTAATACTGCATTTGACACTTATTTTGCATGCTGAGATGAAGAAGTTCTACTCTGACATTGTACAATGTGTGAGTCAAAATGTTAACACTTCCAGAAAAAAAACCCCTATCAGTAAGATGCATAGCTATTCCTTGGTCCCGAAGACATAAAATGAAGTTATAGGTGCTATAGTATGAGATAAAACTAGAACAGGGAAAACATCTATGATTTATGTAAAGGTCAACAGACACACAGTTCTCAGAGTAAAGTATCATTATAAAAAAAATTTTAAACAAAGAAGCAACATTAAGCAACTACTTATTATAAAGTAATAAATTTAAAAAGCATTTAACAGATAGCAAATCAAGGGGAATAGTTTGGAATACTGCTTACAAAGTGACTCACATCTGAGGCACTACCCCTGAATGAAAGATAAAAACTTATTGAAGGGAATTTGAGAGGGTCTGTCTTGGTGAAAATATACCCCCTCCCTGTGTAATTCTGATTCTGTTGGTATGCAGCCTAATTGGGGTGAAATAAGGCTATTGAGTTTTCTTAGGGTGATGACAGCAGCGGGAACATACAGCTGCATTGTCCAGATGTGTGGCATTGACAGGCTGTTTTATGACTATGTTTTTTACAGCTTGTTTCCACTAAATTTCATACAACTCACTAACATCTGGGCTGTTTTCCTTGGAGCCTCGTAACCACTTTATTTACTGCGAAAAAAATAAAATAACATAAAAATACCATAAAAAGTTGTTACATGTTTCTTTTCACTTGTGTTGTCTCTGCAATAAAGTTCACCTATGTAGGAAGCACTATTGAGGAATAATATAACCATAATATTTTCCTACTTTTTGTTTTTAAGCAACCATCAGCTTTATTTATAACCATGGGCTGAATTAGGTGTTACTCAAATGTTCTGACATGTTTCTCTTTTCCCCTCTTGGAGCAATTACAGTTGGGCACATATGGTGTCAATTTTGCTTGCTAACATTCAGACAATGAAGGTGCACACTGCATCTCACTGAACTGTGTCTTGTCTAATGCAAACACCACCATTAGCTTTGAGCTTTCATAGCTTCTTGCCCAGCTTAGAAATTTTCACTGCTTAAGTAAAATCTAGGTAAGCAATCATAATCACTAAAAATGCTTCTCTGAATAAAACAAAGCCACAAAGCATCCAGATTATTACATGCTGAATTATTGTTTCATACAAGTGAAAGCAAAGTACAGAAAAGGAAATACGTTAAAATCCAGATTTTTCTGAATCATGTAACAAGGAGACAAAACAATCAAAACATTCGCATTTATAAACCTGCCCAAAACAATCCTGCCCCTCCAACACCAATAAACCTGATGATCTCCTTAATGTACATGTAGGAAAATACATTACGGTTATAAGATCAGTTCTGGTTTACATCTTCCACATTCAGAGTACTACTTACTGGTAACTACCTCCACAAGCCAACCACAGAAGGCTTCTGGATAGAGTCCCACTGACTTCAGAGTCACATCAAGAAATCAGGGATATGCTAAGAACAGACTTTAAAACTCCAACAAACTGTAGGCACACGAGAAACTACTAGCTATTCCAACCAAAAAAACAGTCCCCCAGAGCTAGCTACACAAATCTGTGCTCTGAAACAAGGAGATTTTGGTAGAAATATCATAGTAATTTCCCTTAGAGGGAAAAATTCTCATGGAAGGTTTTGGGGTTTTTTTTTTGAGGAATGGTGCTAACAGCCTATGGAAAGTGATGCTTCCCAATTGCTTAATCTAGATGAGTTGCACATTTCTTGAAATACAATAGAGTGGAACCAGAGGGATTCTGGAAGGATTCCTGAAGAGTGTATATATAGTAACCCGGCTTGGTGGCAGCTGCTGATTTATTGTTCATGGAAGAAAGAAGGCACGCTTAGACTCTTCTACAACTCTTTCTTCCTGAGAAGTTGAAAGCATTTTATCAGTCAAAAGCAATGCATCAAGATTATTCCTATTTTGTAGATAGAGAACGCAGAAATGAAGAGACTTGTCCAAGGCCTGTAGTGAGCTGGACAACTCTGAGTGGATGGTAAGGACAAATTTTCTTACATGAGATGTTAAAGAAGTATACAACACACTATTTAACAGGAGTACATTCTATGACTGTGGAAAGCTGTCAGACAAATAAGACAAAAATAAAATAAGCACACTACATTTTGCAATATAAAGAAAATAAAATAGTTTTTCATATAGCAATGTAAAATCTGCTTTGTGCACAAGCAAATAAAACCCCAATCCTTTATTACTGTCAGTTTAAAGACAGAACACAGATCCATCCATGTACAGTAGATAAAAGAGAATAAATTTACCACAATTATGCACGTTTACTTCATCTGTTGTCCTGTGAACTATGCAGGCACCTAGCATAAACAGTCAAGAATACATAAGGCCTCAAACAACAACAAAAAAAAGCTGAAGATAAAGACTTGGTAGAAGTACAGAAGGAAATTTTTTGGATACTATGAAGTGGATTTGTTTCAGATCAGCTATTTACTTCATCCCACCAGCGATGACCTTTTCCTTATGTGAGAAAACCATGGAAACTTGGATGGACAAACTCAGTTAGGTAGGGCCACTTTTCCTTTAAAGGAAGAGGAAACTTAGCATTCCTTACACAGCAGGGATCACATTTGTGAAGTGCAGAAAGGCTTCAGCGATGCAGTATTTGATCTCACACGGTGGCAGTACGAACCACGCAGAGATTTAGCGGCCTGGTGCTAAAAGCATGTATTTCAAGCCATTCAAATGCTGCAAGAGTGCTTGTAAATGACGCTATTCTACTGGCAGATACTAGGGCCACTGAGATAGGACACAGGTATTAATAGTCAGGGAAACATTTAAAGCCAGAGTCTTTGTGGTACCTTTCTTTGAAATGCTTCCTTTTCAATGTACAGCACCATTAAGGCTGCTAAATCATAATCAGAACAGCTTTCAAAGTGACAAATTCCATTAACAACTTCTGCAGTTTTATCATTACTTGGAAGGCGTAGCATCACTTGCTACAAACAGTGGTCGGCCCATTTTGTGGTTATAGTTCTCCTATATGCAGGCTGAGCTTTCTGAAGCCCTATCTCCTCTTTTGTTCTTGAAACTTTAAGAAATTGAGGCAACCACATCTTATATAACTTATATAACACTTATATACGTATATAACACGTATATACATATACACTTATATACGTATATAACAAGTATATAACTTATATAACACTTCCTAAAAGAAACATAATGATTCCTAGTAGAACTCCTCTGCAATTCAAATCCATTAGTAGCTGACATGGTTCAAGTCAATTTGAAGCAGGAGAGCCATCAGTCAAGAAGCTATTATAGATTACACTTACCAATCAAGTTATTATTTACTGTTCAAATGTATTTTCCTGAGCAAGCTAATAAAAGCAGAAAAAACCCCAACCTGATCTTCACCCATTACAATCAAACACCAGTATCATGAACCCCTCACAAGCAGCTTTCAAGGCAGACTAGGGAACAAAAGCTGCATGTGTCATACTGATAAATTTCTTTTGACCAAAGAAGACTTCTTTACACATACTATCAAATATTTCCTAATCTGCCAACATCAATTCATTGACAATAACACCCTATGATCGGAATACCAAGAAGGCACTTGGCTAACTGAAATAACTTCTTTCAGATCACACCTGCAGTATGTTTAAAGGCAATGTATTCTCTACTATCAGAACATCCACCTAATTTAACTTTTCCTTTTAGAACCTCTTCCCAACTATGATGTCAAAAGGTCACTTGCTTGATCACCGTCCTGCACTGGTGAACTAATGACTCACACTTCAAACTTAGCTTAAGGATTCACATAAATCATAAATCAACTGCATATCTGAATGGAGCTCCCTATAGAGTTTTGTATCCATAAGGTAGACTGTAAAACTTAAGCTAAGCTAATCTATCAATAAAGACTCTACCAACATGTCCTCCAGAGAATTAAAATAAAATAAATTAAAGTGGATTTGATCACTCCTGCCCCTCAGAGTCCTTTTCAAATGAACTTACTAAAATAAGGACACTTTCACCATTCAGTAATATTGAGCAAATATGTATGCTGTTCATGTACTAAATATCTGCCTTTCTATTGTGAAAACATTTCTCAAAGCAAAAACAATGGCTGCTTGTGCCCTAGAAAAATACATTATCACTCATATGAGTGAGCCTGGTTTTTGCCAAATCACAACACAGCTTGATCTGGTTAGCAGAAATCTAGTTAGAAGTATCTGTTGTAAGAAGGTCTCTCCTTCAAACCTTTCTCTACAGAAAATGTGCAACCTGAGGGCATACTTTAACTGGTTTAATCTCAGCAATGCAGAATGAAAACTTCCTAAGACATGTGTACAGCATACATGTCTCAGTGTTACACGTACTTAAATAATGTTTTATGGGAAATACAAACAGGTTAATATCCTACTTAAGTAAAAATGAGAAACATCATTACATAATGGCTTTATTAAAGAGCTCATATAAGAGCTCTTACCATCTATGACATGCACCTCCTACGGCTTCCTGACCACCAGACTGCTACCAAAACAAACCATCTTAAGGGATCACAAAATACAGTACAAATACCCAATGATTCCAAAGATCAGTCATTACTATTGCTATCTCAAAGGAGGAGTATTGTGCATAGGGAAGGTTTTCTCATGCAAACCTTCAGACACAGGTTTGCTTTTAACGCTCTCATTGGAGGCACATAGTTGAAATAGAATTTAAGTGATTTCTGAAGAACTCCTACAGAAACCAAGCCTTTTTAAAAAAGGAGAACAGGCCAGTCTGCTCAGAAGAAAAGATATATTGACATGATCAAATCTTGAAATGTTTACATTTCAGTGGTATGAATCTGCCCAGTAACTCTTTCCATTGTGCAGT